TACAGAATTTTCTGTCCCATTTATTCTGAGAGCATCAAAGGTGTCATCTACAAAGGAGAAGCCTCCAGTGGGCGCATCAATCCAATTCAAAGGTTCCACACTCTGCTCCAATGCTTTCAACTGGCACATGCACCCAGCTTTCTGCAGCAACTTTTCTGATTTTCAGAAACTATTACCCTTGTGATGCATACTTTTTTGTAGTGAATTTTTTTTATTTTTTAAGAAAACTAATTGAGAGTACTATGACTTGTACCATTACATGCATATGATGAACTGAGCATTATGTTCTTCATAATTTTTAGGAATACAATATGTGCTTTTTTTTTGTGCGGGGAAATATGGAGCAAGGATACAAAAAATGTAATTGAAAAAAGAAAAGTTTGAGTTGAATTGCAGCTCTTCTTCCGGAGACAAAATTGAAAATGGAAATTTTCTTTTGCAAAAATGTGCAGAGCACTAATAAGGCTTGAGCACTATCAGATAAATGGAAAATGCTGAGGGATTTAAGGGTAAAAAGTATATACAGTTGAAATTTAATAACTCAAAGCTTCCTAAGTCAAATACCCCCCTATGTCAAAATTTTTTTCAGGCCCTGTCTGAATCCCTTCAGAAATAATGCATTAAAAACCTCATTAAGTCAAAGGTTTTTCCCTCAAACCTCCAGAAGTCAAATTTTCTGTGGCCTGTTGGCTTTCAATTTCTTGACACAAGAGAGAAAATAAAGCAATAAAAACAGGAATTGATTTGTTTAAAAAGGAGGTGAGAGACTTAATTGTGCAAATGAACCCTGCCGCCAAGTTCAGGATTCTTCAAACTCATTTAAGAATTAATTTCAGCCTCAGAGTATCACAATTGACAATTTTGAGACATTTTTGGTTTTAACCAGAACGAAGGGGCTGTGTATTTTAGCTCAATACAAAACTTCCCAAGGTCAAATTTTTCTGCTGGTCCCTTCAAACTTGACAGAGAGGTTCACCTGTAATGAAAAACTTCTCATTCAACACAGGTTTGAATCAAAAGTGGCTGAAAGCAGTGGCAAAAAAAATTAAAAATGAATGCAGAGTGTTTAATGAAGAATGGACAAACAAAATATTTATTTATGATCTCCAACGGCAAAATGCTTTGCCTTGTTTGTTACCAGAAAAGTTTAGTTTCCAAGGAATATTATCTTTGCTGGCATTTTGAGTCCAAACACAAACACCTGTACTTGAGAAAACTGAAATTGACAAGCACGTTGAAAAAAGGGACTTGGTGCCCTTTTTTAAATTCAAAGGAGTTGAAAATTTTGAAAATTGTAGAGGAGTTCATTTATTTCTGCCATTGTGACCCATATGGAGAAGGCTTGCTTTTTAATGTGACCCTTGACCACTTTTGAGTTGGGCACCACTGCCACACAAAATGTTTTACTGAACCTAAGGGTATTCTCTTTGCTTGTACAGTACTACTGTATAAAGTTCCAGTTGCTTGGGTTGTTGACTGCAAAAACTTATTTTTGTATGTGTTGGGACAAGTGTGTTCTTGTGTGGTTTGCAAGAAACTTGGCAATATGTACGGAAATCCAGCTATTTTGAAGGAAAAGTCCATATGAGCCAACAAGCCTCTGTACCGGCGTGTAATGCATTTCTTCCTGCCAGTGTTACACATACACACTTCAAGGTGAATTCTTACTCCTCAGGGATTCTTAAAAACATGAGCTATAATGCCAAAAAATGTGCAAATTCTGCTTTTGCTCTGTGAATGACCATACAGGAAGTCTTCGGTTTCCCTAACTTTCTGACAAAGACAAGATTTCTTTTTGAGACAGCATGTTGCTGGACTTCAAGCCAGCAGAGTTCTCCAAGCTGCAGCTCAGATCTATATTTGATCCTCTAATTTTCTTTGCATAACAGTTTTGAACTGTAGATCCACCAATGCTAAATCCAGTATTTACTTGAATATATGTTGCAGATCCTTTATTTTCTCCACATTTTTCCTATAAATGAATCAGTATCACACTCTCTTGCTTATAAAATAATGTCCATGTATGTTTGTATGAATTTGAGGAGTTTTGTCATTTCCTGATGACAGACTCATGGAATTCCAAATTATGTGTCCTTCATTTGGAATTGCAATGGTGTTGCTGCAAAATATTAAGCATTTGGCCTTTGCTGTCCTTAAGTGATCAAATATTTCCATCAGGCTTAGTTTAATTATGCCAAATATGTTCTCCTCTGAAATGTTTGTGTTTCTCAAATGTAATAGTGTTGGATGCTGGATCATGCATTTCAACCTCCTGCAATTCAATCATCCTGCAATTTGATGGTCAAATTTGCAGGGAGGTTGACTTTCAATTCAACATCTGCCCTGGAATTCAACCTGCTAGCAGAGAACACCCCCAACATGAAAGAAAATCTTATGGGACTGAAGAGAAGGTTGTTATAATGAGAACATTGTTGTAGAGAGAGTTCACCTCTATTTTGAGCACATTTTGAGAAACTCTACCTCTGAACATGTGCCTCACATTTGACAGTAAATATGATAGAGCAGTTTATCTGCTGGTGTTCATTAAAGACTGGATTCAAAAAACATCAAACAACAACAGAGAGCTTGCCAATTTTCTTATTGTGGCAGTATTCCAGATGTAAGTCACCAGTTTAATGAGGCTCTGTTTGATAACTTGTGTTCTTCAACTGACTGTCGTTATTTTGGGGAATGAATCAAATTCACTTTTTTCAAGTTGATGCCCAAGTTGAAGGTCACTAAAAATTATTTGTTGAAATGAGCGAATTTTAAAAAAATTATCAGAGGAGTTTTGTCATTTGCTGATGAGACTTATGGAATTCCAAATTATGTGTCCTTCATTTGTAATTGCATTGGGGCAGAAAATATCATGCATAAATATCTCAACTGAAAATATAGTGACCGTAATTCATTTAGAGTAGAACATAGTTACAACAAAGCTTGTTGATGAAAAATTTAAGCCATTGTTGATGAAAATGACATTTTAGGGTGCCCTGCCCAATAGCCAGAAGATTAAATGACTTGTTTTATAAAAAATATTGTAGTAAAAAAGTTATTTTACTGGTCCCAGTGGCTTCATTGCAATGAGATTTTAAGTGCACTATATTTCCCACCATGACACAGCTTGAGTTCACTGAATACTACTCATGCTTGTTATTTCATTACCAAAAAGTAATTAGTACAAAAATTATCCTGGGTGACAATGACACTGACAAAATGAATTCTAACAGTCATGATCCACACTTTTTTCAAGCCAAAAATGTTTGCATAAAAACTGTCAATAAAATTTTGATTTTACTCATTGTTTGATTTTTTATACTTCAAAAGAAACAAGGAACCCATACACAGATCATCCTCCAGAAACACGAGGGCAATAAACTTTTTAAATCAATTATGCTCAGATCATTGTAATTTATTACAGTATTTTCTTTTGTACAAATATTCAAGTGGCACAATTCTGACTGGAATAGAGTACACAATTTTATAGATCTCATTTACTGTCTCTTGAACTCAATCATCAAATTGCTACAGAAATATACCTCTTGCACCAGATGCCTTCAAATACACTCAAATTCAATATTCACACACTAATGTTTGTGACCAGTACATTGGATGATGTCAGCAGGGTTCAGCATCCCATCCTTGAATCTTGTCTTGGTACTCAAAATCAGGGGGGAAAAGTTTTTGACATTTTTCTCATTTGTACACACATTGAAGCACACACAGACAATCACAAACACACATTCAATACATGGACAATTTTCTGTCCTTTGCAGATTCAAACCACAACCCCCAAATCCTGAGCATGTGGCTTGACCAACAGCACCACACACATAATGTCTGTACTTGCAGTACTCTATGATAATATACTGCATTTGCAGCAATAACCACACTCCAGTATTTTCAACAGATGATGCCCCTAATAATAAAGAAAGAAATGTTCTTGAATGAAAGAGAATACTGAAGTGAATGCTGCTGTGCTTCAGGGTTGTTTTGTTGAGAAATTCATAGGAGGGAAAGAAATACGCAATATATTGATTTGTACACTTGAAAAGTTTATTCACAAACAGTACACAAACAATACAATACTATACATACACTACAAAAATGTAAAAATTTAGATAGAAACAATATACTGTACATAGTATATTTATGCATGACACCAATGCAATTCAGACCTGAATTTTTGCTTTTGTTAGATAGGGTATCATTGAAACAGTGCATTTCTTTGCATACAGATGAATTCTCCCAACACCAATTTTGTCCACAACAATTTTCTCAGTGGGCCCTCACTTTATGATGGTAATCTGTTTGAAGAGGACTGTCATAAACAGGACCTGGCATAAAACAGAACCCTGTTCCCCTTAAAGGTACCTTACAAAGCCATTCATCAGTTCTCAAAGGCTATTTTTCAATGACCTGCAATACTGTGCTGTGCATGAAATAATTTGCTCCAAATGTGCCCTCAACAATTTAATAAATGTCAAGGAGTTAGGCTATGGCAAGAAAGAAGCATAGAAAGGTAATGAGAATGATTTTTATAAATGTAGAGCACTTTTCAGGAATTGTTCCCACTTTCTTTGAGAAATGCCACAATCTGGCATATCTCCACAGTTTTTGACAAGCTGTTTTCACATCTTCTTTAGCAGTTCACTGGCCTTCAAAACCACATGAAGTGATTTCCAGCTGCCCTCCTGCACCAAATCCATGTTTGTGCCTCTGTGGAGAGGAAATGTCCAAGTAACTGTCCCAGGTAGTCTGCCTCTGGCTCTTCCTGAGAATTTGTCTGAAGGGCTGCACTTTTCATCAGGAAGTTCACAATGCCTGTTTACTTCATCTTACTCTAGGTGATGAGTGTTCAAAAACTCTTGACAATTCTCCCACTTGTGCAAACATTTCTTGATAACACCTGTTGGGATGAGCATCCTGGCTTCCTCCTCCTCTTCATCTTCAGATGAAAGCTCTTGCTTGGCTTCCTTGGAATCTTGTTGCAATGGCTACTGCAGCTCCTCTGTGCTGAGTTCCCCCTTCTGTTCTTCAATGTCACTCTCTTCCACTTCCATGTGGATTTCTTTGGCTATTTGGACAATGGCCTCCACTAGACCATGGCCATCACTTGCCTCTCCTTTACACCCATCTGGAATGAGCCAGAATGGCCTTCTTCATGATGATAGCTGTAGAGGTGGGTACCTGGTGAACTGCCTATCATGCACCCCATGTGGTGAGCTGGAGATTGGGAAGGCCTGCTACTGACCTGGCTGGCAGTGAGAGGAACCAGCATTTGGTGACTTGCAGGTGCACAACATTGGATTGCATGACACGCAGTTAAGTGGACACAGTAGAGGAGATACCTCTTTTCAACTCCCTCTCACTGATCCAGATGGCCAAGAGCTTCTCCATTTCTTCAAGGAGGGAAATTCTCCCACTGATCCTTGTAACTTCCTTAGCAACACAAGACTGCATGATTTTGTCCTTCTGTACAAGGATGTTGCTTATGGTAGAGTGCCCAACACCATATTCTCTTGCAATTTCTGTCACTTTGCCTCCAGCTTCTTTCTTTTGGATTACTTGTTTCACTTTAAAAATTGCTTTTCTGGCTGCCTTCTTAGGTGCCATCTCTTCACAAACTGAGGTAATTATTGCACACAGCATTTTTAATACAGAACATAGATACAGTGTTTTGTAGAATATGAAGACATACAAATGAAAACTTACAGAAGAATGTTACTGTACAGTTGTACAGTGCACTTGAAAAGTAAAGTAAAAAAAACAATTGAAGAGTTACTGTACACAATATTTCACTGAACTTGGAAAAAAACCTGAAATTCATTCCCCTAAACCTTCGACCCTAAAATGCCATCTTGGAGGCTACACAAATTCAATTTTTTGGTGATGTGCCTGATGGTGGCTCTGGCCAACATATACCAAGTCTGCCATCATTAAGAGGGACAAATTTTCATATCAGCAGACTGTCATTAATCAGCCCTGTCATAAAGTGGAGGCCCACTGGACAACGAGAGAATAATTCCTTGTTGGACACAGGATGGAGACAGACTAGTTTTTTTTTTAATTGCTTCTGACAAGAAAACAACGGCACAGCCACGTGGTAATTTCATTACAGGACCAGCACAAAATGAACTCATGTAGGGCTTCAATTTATCTTCAAGTTACAGTTCAAGTCCCGTATTCTTTCTTTTTTCTCAAGTAAGTGTCACAAATGCAAACTTCATGGGCACAAATTCAAAGCACACAAAGGCTACCTGCACTTTCCCCGTCTCCATGGATGAATCGATCCATGATGGTTTGCAGGAGAACTAGCATGAAAAGTAGAACTCCAAGCCCAACACTGGCTGTTCCCAGGACCAGTTGGGCAAGCGTTTTTCTTCGCAACTGGTCCCTTTGCATGTCTGAGTCTTGCAGAGTCAATTTCAGCAAACAAACACCTGAAAAAAAATTGTAGTCACCAACTGAACGCCTCTTCAACTATACAAAGATCATTTATTCATATACAGTGCACGAAGATTTACTGCGTCAGTGTGATAAATTGATAATGCTTCGCAAAAGTTCCCGCTATATTTTACAATGAAAAATTGTCTCAGTGAATCACAAGCATCGTCACTGAGTAAAAATTACGTTTTTAGACGCCGAGTCATCTCGAGTTTTCCGTGGGTGCGCATGCGAACTTATAAAATAACAAAAAAGGTTTATAATATCACGGATAACAAAGGATTTCTGAGGGAGAAGTGTTGACTCGTTCAGCATCTCCAATTCCTGCTGATCCGTCACCACAATACACCATAAATGTTCTTATACATATGGGGGCTTTTCATTCAAGATTCTAAGAAAAGCACTGACTTTTACTATGCGCAGTGAACATTCAAACGACTATATCTGAATCATGTTCAATGAAATCCGTGCATCCATTCTTAGTACATCGGTTACCTTACAAAAATATATTTTTTGTGAGAACTTGCCTGGGCACGAAGGCTTCTCAACAGTTTTTCTTCGTTTCAATTAAAGAAACAGAACCGAAATGTTCATCAGAACTGGCGCGGAAAGCTTACCAGGAAAGAAGAAAATGAATATGGCGGCAAGACTTCCGAGAAAATCTATCACAGTCGTAATGGTCGGCACAACGACGGCTACAATCAATGTCGTCGCAAACCACACGGAAGCTATCGATATTCTCCTAGTTTTCTCGCCTCTCGCAGATTGGGTCGGGTGTTGGAATCTCCGACACTCCAAAAACAACTGGTTAACAGCTTCCCTGCAAAATATAAAAACTGAGAAATCGAAACGACTAAATCAAAATTAATTTAGACTCATGATACTAAGAGGACGCAAAAAACGGTCAAGCAATAATTGATTCGACGATAAAAAAAAGGATACCATTAAATTACTGAAAAATTAAAGTTGCTCCAAACTTTTACTCGCATAGGCACGAAGCTAATTGCGCATTCAAATCACAGAAGACTGCAATCCAGCCGTAAAATGCTCACCTGCCGCAAAAGAGGAGGATCGGATAAGTCGTATACATTTTCAACGCAAGTGAAATTATTCCAATAAGCACAAGAGGCTCGTGAGCGTCAAAAGCTTCTAGAATGTCACTCGGCACGCTTGCGCCGAACATCAAGTATCCCAAAACACCGGCAATCGAGTAAGTTATGGCACAAATTCCCAGAGCTAAAATTACCGACTTCACGAATGTTCCGAGACTTCTTTTCTCCAGACACGAATAAATCGGTACACAGCTTACGTGGCACTGTAAGAGAATTTTGCAGTAATAAAAAATGGAATGTACTTGTAAGTAAAATTGAAGAAAGAACTTCAACATAGAGAATACGAAAGATGATTCACCTGATAGCCAAAGCATATCACAGGAACGACAGCGAAAACATCGGTCCATACTTTCGGACGAGTGACGATTTCGCCAGGCACGAAATTTCCGGAAAAATATTTATACGCGATAATGCAGTTCAGATAAAATATAGCGAATACTCCGAAGAAGCTAAAATCGGAGAGTAATACAGCAAGAATTAAGAGTGTACTTCGATGAAGAAAGCGATCGAAAATCCAGACTTACCTCGCATACTTCAAAAACGCAATGCGCTTCGGAAAACAAAGCGGTAAAATGAAGAGGAACGACGTCACGACAATGATGAACTCCCTTTTCATGTACCAATATCGGCAAAAATCCAAGCCCCAAATGGATACAAAAACTGAAGACAAAAATTCAAGAGCTCCTGACAATGAAGCGTTATGCGCCAAAACGGACAAACCTCTATCGCTTTGGTCCCCAATGATGATCAGAAACGTTACGCAAGTTCCGTAACAATATAAAATTACGCAAATAGAAGCAGCACGTTGCCAGTGGATTCCACATATCCGCATAACATCTTGGTAAGTTGAAACGAATCCCCCACAGTCAGAGCACCACGCCAAAATCAGCAACGATGCTCCAATGAAAAATAATAAACCAACCTGTAGACGAGAAATCTTGTGAAACTCATCAAATGGTGTGCATCTCTTACCGGAAGAAACACCTTTTCTTAAGTTTACAAGGCGGCCGTTACAGTTCGCCAAAAAAATTTAAGCGGCTACAAGGAAAATTTCATTAAAAACTCACTCAATACAGTACAGTACATCTAATCTTATCCCGATGAATTTATTGCTGCGTTCTTCCCTACGATGTGTGGGGAATGCAGAGTAACAGAAAATTACAGGAAGTGAAAATCTCCATATTATCAATCATCAATGCGTCGGGAATTCCAATGGACAGAACAATACAAATACGTAAGAAGCGAATTCAAACAATTTCGACGTCGAAGTAAATTAGGTACATATTTAAGCCCCAATTCAGCTGTAAATCCTTCATAGCTTCGTAGTCATAGTCTTAATTGCATAGTTTTTATTGAAAGCCGAATTTAAAGCTCGCCTTTCTTCTCAGGTTTTTTAAAGGGAACTTCTTCATCAGTCACAAAACAAATATGACGGTTACAAGGTCAACATTATGGTGCAATTATAAAAATCAATCCAATTGAAATCCGCGCGAGTCCAAACTCAGCTTTTTCGCTTTTGTAGTTTTCATTGATATTATTGATAGTTAATAACCAACGAATACTTCTTTATATTTGCTGGATTGTAAATATTCATCATAGAACTGATCCGCCCTGAACTTCAAAAATTTGCTCTACTTTGAAGCAGTTATAACATCTGCGAAGTCTGAGAAAAATCAGATGCTGAGAGGGAAAGGAAAAAATTGAACCCGTATTGAATTTGGCTTGATAACGGTTGTTAAATGCACACTCATAGTCTGGGACGTCTAACACTCGGAGAAGCAATTACATCGTTATAATTCAACTGAATTCAATACGCACCTGTATTCCCATTGCAACACCTACACCGCCAGCTTTGGCATACGCTTCCGGGAAATTCAGCAAGCCAGCACCCAGTGCCGCATTAATAATCAAAAATACCCCACCAAGAACACTTGTTCCACGATTTTCAGCATACTCAGAGGAGCTCACAACGAAGGGACCACTAGAATCATTGTGGCCCTCCAGCTCAGTATTTTCTTCGTCCAAATAATGACCGCGCTGACCTGCGTCATGTGGAGCCATATTTGGACGCCAACTGGAAAAGTAAAAAGCTTGTTGAACTGAAAATAAATTCCTTGTATCATTTAAATCTTGGAAGACACAGAAGAGCAAGCGCATGGAAGATTGAGCAATAAAATAAGAGGGCACCAAAGTGAACTCTCTCTACATCGATTCTCTCTGCAACTAATTTTCTGTGGTCCTTTGAATTTCGTTGTAAAGAGCAAGTTCACCTGTAAAAGCAAGTATCAAACTGGGATTCTTCGAAATTCCTCTTCAAGTTACTCATCTTTCTTGAACCAACTCTTCTGCAAAACCTTGAAAATTCAACCTTGAATACAAAACCACAAGTTTTGTCGCTCCGAAGCTTCTTTCAATACGCATCTTACATTGCTCGCGTAACAAGAAGATCCCCGGAGTAAGCCAAATATCCAAGCAAGATAAAACGAAAAAACATACGAAACTCAAAACTGCCGAGACATGGTACAATGGCTCGGGCGTTATCATCACACAACGAGCGGGCTTAATGCGACGCGAGGGCATTCAATATTAGCATCATCTGTCCTTAATTCAAGGGTTTATCACGGAATTAAGAAAATCCATCGCAGCGGTCGAATCTTCCGAGTTACACTTACGCGGTCGCTAAAACCCCGGGTGGGAATGACCGTTGTGACACATTTTCAACGGATAGCGATGAACGAAATTCAAAATTTCTCAGAAATTCGATTCTACACGTTACAAAACTGGAATACATAATGAGAGCCCGACATCCTCCGACACATTCCTTTAGAGCTCTTCTAAAGAAGGGCTTCAAGCGTAACCAGCGATTCATCACCCAAAGCGGAAGAACGTCTACACGAAAGTAAAGCAATATACTGGAGCATCAATGAGGGATACGCGAAGCCGGAGAAAACCCAAGAATTCGTTCACAGCCATTCATCATTTGGATCCACATTCCTTGCATCTTGCACGCTTCTTCCACAAGCATTCACAGATCCATGGAGCCGAACACCAAAAATGGATTAGGGCTCAAAGAACTCCAAGCTCGTGGAATGCGAGGACATGGATGCAATGACGAAAATGTTTCTGCTTCCAAAAACAAAGAGGAAACGAACTGCGTTGTTGATTTTCACAGGAGGATCATATTCACGTCGATCCACGTTAGCAGCCTTGAGTCTTCAACCACGCTACGAATTCATCCAATAAAACTGGCCCTGAAAAATCAATGAAATATCATTAGTGAGGGTAAAAAAATATGAAAACTGGGTATACTCACATGCTCCGTCTTCGTCGTAATTCGAGAGGTCTGGTTTTATGGATCGGGAGAATTCCAAGATGTTGCACCACTGATCCCTGTTGATGACTTTATAATGTTTCTGGAAGTCCAGGAACTGTTGAAACTGCTCATGCAGAGGCCATATCTTTGCCAGTAGTAATGCCATCATTCCCTTGGCAGTGTCAAGGTCAAGATTCTTTTGATTCTTGTTCTGTGAAGGCAATAAATTTCAGGTTCGAAATGTCACAGCCATGATCACGAGTTTATTGAAAGTAACTCACACGAGCGAAATCAAAAGCGTAGCGGTAAATCGACTTGAAGTTTTCGGGATCGGACAAGATATCACGTAGAAACCCCAACCTTCCACGAAGTTTGGTAATTGAATCACACCCAAGTCGTGATAATCCGAAGATCCATTCAGGCTCAGAAAAGTAACCCATTTGCGAAGCGTTCATTTGCCAAGCCAGGACAAGCATGACAATATTTTCGGGCTCAACTCCAAGATCTTGGCAAAACTTTTCCATTCCGTCGGGACCTGCAATAATAAAAATAGGTTAGAATTGTGATTCGAGCCCAAACGCTGCGCATCAAGTTGGCGCAACATTAACGAACCGAGAGAAGTCCCTGCTCCACATGTATACTCATGAAACCACGCTGTGCACCTTCTCTGACTGAAATCACCGCTTCTTGCAACTCGTTGACTAAAAGATTCCGAATGAAATACGATCTGTGAACATCCTAACAGCACGAAAAAGCCCGAAACTCACAAAGCAGCTTGGATACAGGTGACCTTCGGAGCTGGAGGCTCCGCCGCAGAGGAGAACGCATCATTCAAGCCTCGCTTTCTAGTACTTCTCGGCATGCTTAAAGACACTACCTGTCAACGGAATTAGCGCTTAAAATGTTTGCAAAACCGAGAACAAACGCGACACAGAAACGGGGATCAAGATTGAAATAGACAACTCTGACACAATTCGGTTCCCGGCTTCCATAGAAGTAAATGTATGCAACACATAATTTAGCACAGCAGTTCGCAAAAACCTAACGCAAATTGAGCACTTCACTTCGAAAGACAAAACCCACACCGTAGAGCAGATGCTACATCCTCGAAGCGAGGCAATCGCCGGTATTTGCTAACGCGGCTATTTGCAAAGTTTTGATCGGTCAAAATGATATTCAGATTTATACTGTACTGTTACTAAATTACAATACTGTACTGTAAATTACTGTATCGCGCCTCGGACGACAGTAACACGATTGAACTGACAATACGGGACACTTCACAATAGATTTTCCCCGCGACTTTCGGATCCACATGTTGGCGATCATGCTAATGGCCGCTTAGGCATTTGCGGTGGGAGAATTGTAAGACCACCTATGTTCCTACATTTGCTGTTCTTCAAATGTGTGTTTATAGGACCATCCATTTATCGTCCTCAGCAGTGAAAGCACACGCGCAGTGATCAGTCTCTCAAATTGAGTAAAACCAAAGGGTTAGAGTACAGCACTGTGTGTGATTACACATGCTTAATGCAATCGTTCCTCGTAAAGTATATGATCTGCATTCAATGGTCTCCATTCCGTGAACCACGATCTGTCGCTCACTTGCATAGAATTTACTTACCTACAGTATTAGGATTTTATATCAGGTGGAATTCCACATTGATAGACTGAAATATGTGAGGAACACTCATTTTTATTCACAAATGCACAAAACGAGACTGCTGATGCGGACCATCGAACCAAAAACACCATAGTTTTAGATTCAGAAGGTGTGAATTTCATTAGGAAGCCAAATTTAACTAAGCACCGAGCTTGAATATAAATCGATTTTATGTAAATGGTCAGGGCGCCTGAAGTTTATTTCAGGATTGTCCGATGTCCATTCTGTCATTAATATTTACCGAGCTGGCCTATTCAGCAGACAATGAACCAAGACAGCATCTTATTAATTTGAAATTATAATTTTGAGTGTCCAATAATTTTTATAAATCTTTGAATGGCTTGTTTCTCCAGTGCAAAATGATGGGACAAAAACTGCACCAGTATAAGCCTTCATATCACTCTCTCCCATCTTGGCTGCCTTAAATAGGAACATGCAGTACCAGCAAAATTTATTTGGATCTCTTGAAGTTCATCTTAGAGGTTTTACTGTATAACATCAAGTAAGAATTCAATTCACCTGTAAAGGTAGTGCATTGAGAAGAAAGACTCCAAAATTCGTTAGGGGTTCCATTACAGAAATAAATTCCAAAATGACAAGTGCAAGTGAACATTTTCGAGAACATTTGCTGTGCAGGTATCCAGCAGGCAGTAGTAAAATTTCACCAATTCAAATTGATTAAAATCACTCATTTGTATCAAAGGAAATCAAATATATATTTCATTTGAAAATTCTTCATCAAAATTATTCTGTCAAAGGTTACACAATCATCAAAAGCATGATATCCATGACATTCGTACCCGTGTGACCTGTGATAAGCAGATCAGCACCATCTTCAAACTTTTGATAAAATCCATTGGAATCATTTTCATGCAGCATCTTTTCTGCAGGAATGCCTCTTTGTAAAGCAGTCTGCCACAGCCCTGGATAACCAAATGCTCCAGCGGCAGTGGTTGGGCCATCAATCCCATCCGATCCACCAGAGAGAAGAACACACGAATTATCTGGAAGACCTACAGTAAGCTTTGAAAATCGCAAAGCTAGCTCCTGGTTCCGCCCTCCAGTCCCTCGTCCATTGACATTAACTGTCGTTTCACCACCAAAAATTAAACAAAATGGCCTCGTTCCATTTTTCAAAAGCGAAAACAAATGTATCAGGTTTTCTTCCGGAACACCCAACGGCACAGCCATGTTGACAAATTCAAATTTTGAGGAAATCTCATTCCTTACGATAATTCGCGCTAAATCAGCCAAAAACGTCGCGACGACCTGCACTTCACCGAAAAGACGCGTAGAGACGACCGCCGCATTAATTCCATTCATCCTTGCAAAACAGGCGCAGGCTTCCAATGCAATTTTGTTACTACCAATGATAACATTCAACGGATTCCGACAGACATCTACCGGAGTTTCCTCAATGGCTTTTTTTAGATGATCGAGAACACTCGCTGGAATCAAAGATTCAGGTAGGAATCGGTTCAATGTTTCAAGCGCCAAAACATATTCGTCAGGTGTCAGGGCAACCGTTGGTCCACTCGCAATAAATTTCAGCGGATCCCCAATGACATCGGACAATATCAAGGCGATAGTTCTTGCAGGATGCGCTAGTTTACTAAGTCCTCCACCTTTTATTTCAGAGATACAGCGACGAACACAGTTCATTTCTTGAATCGTTGCGCCACGCTTTGAAAGTTCAGTAGTCAGTTGATATTCATCCTCCAAAGTTATTCCCGGGCTTGGTAATGCAAGCAAAGCAGATCCCCCACCTGGAATTGAGTAAAATCTGTATAAATTAAAAGATGCTGCTTATCCGGAGGTAGTTAAGTATTCCGGTTGTCATTCCAAACCTGAGAGCAACAAGATCAAAATTTGACGATCATCCAAGGATTGTGCGAAGGCTTTTATACGTTTTGCAGATTCGAACGCATTGGTATCCGGTAGGTTGTTAGCTGCTCCTTCGTAAATTTCAAATTGAGGTCCGAAGCACGTGAGGGGAACTCCACGAAGCGAACCCATGGGAACACTCACGACGCCATGAACTACATTCGAACCCAAAGCTTTGGCCAGAGGACCCGTCATCTCCAACGCTGCCTTTCCGACTCCTGAAAAAAAAATAAAAAAACGTTCTCTTTACGGATAAAAAAATTTGACTATCAAGACGATGGAAGTCTTACCGATGACATTGACATTTTCGTCGATTAAAAATGGGGTATATCCATCCACGCGAAGAATGCTTTCAGTTTGAAACCAAGCTCTATCTAAAAACTGCTTAATCAACCTTCCCGGCAACACAGCATTTACACCTGCCTCCCATATTTTTGAAATTTGAAGATGCATGTCACGATAACGATGAAAGCATACCTGTCGAATCACGGAAATAACTGGTCAGTCAATTGATTTGGTATGTTCTTTTCTTGAATCAAACGAAAGCGCAATTTTAAGAAGTGAATACTTCGACAAAGCGGAAATACATTATTCACAAATGACATCATGGTTTCTCACGCTCATTCTAATCAACATCACACGAGTAATGAATCAGCGAACTACTGTCTCTCAACACTTCATTTCACATTCAAGTCATACTAAAATCAAATTTCTACGACTTAGCTAATGCTTACTCCTAAATACTGTATATCCAACTCCTAAAAAAAAACTGGAAACAGAGGCAAATTCTCCTTTTTATTCTTTATAAATCAGGGCAATGTCGACAGTTGCTGATGATTAGGGGATTATAAAACGCATCTTCAGTCTCTGGCATGACGTCCGACTTTGTCAAATACATCCGGAAATGCATTTGTGCATTGCAATTCTTTCCTCATGCGATCGTACAGCGAATGATCAAACATTTCCCGGAACTCAGATTTTGTCATATAAGAGTCCGCATAAAGCATCTGGAATCTGTGAAAAATTTTTTTGGGAAACAGCATAAAACAAATAGTTTAATATACTGTAACACGAGCTTCAGTAAGGAAAATTTGAAAATCCGAATTCAAAATAGCTTTACTTACCCGCGGTTCTTCCGAACGAACTGTTCAATTCTACGGGTAGTATCGGCGGGATGGAATTTCGCAACTTTCGGAACACCGTAAATGCCAATATCCACATACATTTCTTGAATTTCGGATTTTCCGGACAGCATTCCTGGCTCAGGAGGTAGTTTGAAAGGACATAGCCAAATCGGGTACACCTTAAATAAATAAAAAATACATACAAATCGGAATAATTTCATGCATTGTCAGAAATACTGAATTGTTTATGATCAAAATTCAAATGACGGCAAAAACACATCGTGCGACAGGAAAAATAAAAAAACAGAACAGGTATAAAAACAGCTCGGTTACTCCAATCATTCCATACTGCTTTAGACATGTCGAAGTAACGAACTTACGGAGACTTCTCGATGAAACATCCGGATAGAATCCTTCAGTGCATACATCGGCACTAACATGTCTTGAATGATATGATTGTTTTCATACAACCGTTTTACAGCTGAAGTCTGTGTGAGCTTGAGCAAAGACACCTTCGGTGGAACCATCCAACCACAAGCATACCGGAATACGGGATTGTTTCCAAACGGTATGATATCCTAAATAAACCGAAAAAAAAAATAGTTTTAGATATTCTCAAAACATTCCAGAGCTTTGAAAATTGTATAAGGATTCGTGCGCAGAGTAAGAGTTTCTCCAACAAAAACATGCAAGCTTCACTAAAGCATAAATTTAATTTTCACGGAAGAGAAAATCCGAGGACTTCAATTATTCTTTCACAGCAGAATTACCTGCAATTCCCAGAAAATACTACGTGTATGTCGATGGTAATAATCCCGAAGCGGAATGTATTCCACGGTGACACCAGGACTTTTCAGCTTCTCTTCCACATGTTTGAAAAACCATGGTTTGTACCACCTTCCAATTCGGTTCAACTGCAAGGAATAATGCAACATAAGAACTAAAAAAAGCGTTCGCGATGAACTTAAAAAAACCTACCTTATTTGGCTCAGCGAATGAGCTGAACTTTCCCGTCATGACAACACCCAGCTCTTGCTCAAAAACAATGCCTTCCACGAAATCATTCTCTTCCGTCTTCGAAGATTCTTCAGCAAATTTCTTAGTCATCTGATCCAATGAACACGCAGGATGATATTCAAGACGGACGAACCTGATTGATTTTTAAAAGATGTGAAAAGACGACGATGATAGAATGAACGCACCTCACCTACCGTTGTGAAGGAATAATGCGTATTTCGGCTGAAACCAGGAATCCGAGAGTTCCATACGACCACGGAATAGCAAAAAACAAATCAGGATTTTCGTCCTGGTACAAGAATAATATCAGTATCCAGCAAAATTAAAAAAAAAGCTAGATATGGTATGCGAGTCCTCGAGATCAAATTTTCGCACTTGATCCTGATGCTATCATAATATCATGTTTAATTTTCATTCAGGCGACCATACTTCAGTTAGAAACGGAATACTAAAGCACGAAAAGCATGCAATCCAATGAAAATATGGAAAAGTCTGCTCCCATAAGTATCAACACTGTAGTTAAAGCTAAATCTCAAAAATGTACTTTCTCAAAGATAAAAAAAAAAACCCTCCGATTCAGTACAAATTTTGCGAGAAAAGTTCACCAATGAGGAAGAAAAAGAAATAAGTAGCGAAATTTTTCAAAAAAAAACTTAACGCTGAAAACGTCGTATGCTTTACGATGGACGTGAAGACAAAATCAAAAGTGTTATAATTTTTATGCAAAAGGCCGAGAGAGCGTAATCGAACTTCAGTAGAGTACCAACCAGTGAATGCCACTGACAAATTGATTTACCTTGGAACACGTCACGACCGAGCCATCCGCAAGCGCGATTTCATACGAGACACAAATATGCTGGAAGAGTCCATGAACATGTGAAGACGTTTCGATTCCAGTTCCCATGATGAGTCCACCTTTCCATGAATTTAAAAAAAAATATAAAACCCGTTGCGAATTATGCGGAATACTTAATCCTTGCGTAATTGCGTTAGCTATGCACCAAACGCAGGATTACTGTATTGTACTTCTGTGGTAATAAAACCACCCAAAACTGTAATATTGTGAGTAAAGCGTGTTATGCAGCGATGAAACTTGCGTAAGCTTAGACGTTATGAAAAATGGAAACAGAATGATAATTTCAACATGAAGTGTTCAGAGCTCAGGAAATTAAAGATTTATTTAATAGATATTCATAAGTTAAGTGCTACTGTGCACCCAGACGAAAGTCCAATGAAGAGCACATAAAATTCAGAAATTTTTCGTAAACATGGTAGCTCAGAAATCTCAATGAAAAAAGAAGAAAAACAGGCCGCTTCAACCAAGTACCGTATGAACAATTTTTCGTATGTACGCACCAATAGTCAGATCGTCTAATTCAGGAACAATCGGAATTGTCCACCCCAGTGGATCAAGCGTAGCTGTCAGCTGTCCCATGCTGACCAGAGGTTCGCATCGAACCGTCTGAAATGAAAGAAATGTTTTTTCGGCATAACGATAACAGACTAATAAGAATAATATGTAATAAGAAGTTGAATAAATTTCAGAAAATTCATAATAAAAATTTCAAAAGCATTTAACATAAAAAACTCGAACTCACAAAACTTTCCATTCAGAAAATCATTCGGCATTTTTCCAACCTACTTCGTAGTGTAATTTAAAACATTTTCTTGCGCAAGAACGTTCATTTACATGAGGATAAGGTAAAATACGTTGTCTTACAGTTCAAATTGCATTTTACATTGAAAATTTCCACGTGTTACAATCTTATCGCCGATCTGAAAAACGATTCACTTCAAGTGGCATCCGCGAACTAACACGTGCGTTCACTCACTCGTTTCTCCACGTTGATATCAAGGACATCCATCAGGTTAATTGAGATCCGATGAAGATTATTTTTGTATTTTCCCCTGCGGAAACTGATTGTTTGCCATGTTGGACGACCAGTGCACATACCAACATCCGAATTTTTGTTCTTCCATTCTTTGATCTAAAATTGCACGTTGATTCGATCTCAGTCATAAATAAATAAATAAAAATTAACACACGCAGTCGAAGCTTCAGACGTAGCAGACTCATATCTTGCAGAAATGGCCTCCTGGAATTCTTATTTAATTCATTTATTTATTTTTGCGGAGGATGTCTGCAATATTTTAGCACATACCGTACATAAATCGAACGTCCATTCATTACTTGCGATAAGAATTTTCTTGCCCAGTTCATTACAATTTAAGTCCAGCTAAAAAATGTTTGACTATCACATTTGCCAGTTAGTGTCACACCGGAAGATCGAAGCTCATTCGCATCAAGGTTATTTGCGTGTACGAAAATCGACGGAATCGCATTGAAGTACTGTACTTTTTTGCTTTTATCATGAACTTTTTCTTAAAAATCTGGACCATTTCCGGCGTCAAAAAATGATTTTTTGAATATGAGATCAACATTAAAAAATGTCACGATAATTCGCGACCTCAACGGAGAATTCTGAACTAACCTGCCGTTGAATGTCTCTCGCTCGTTTTTCGTGCTGTTTCGGTGCGGTGCTCAATAAGAAAATAACTTTGCTCCGGAAATAGAAGAAAGCGTCGTAAAACACGGAGAGCGGCAACAAGAAACAGCATACAAACAACCAACGATAGTTCACCAAGATGTATTCGAAGACCGCGTCAAAATCCATATTGGTACCTCCGATTACCTAAATATAAGCCACAAAATTAAAGAACGAAAGATCAAGAGTTGTGGATGCACTCTCGACCAGAAATAAGAAAATTTTAATGATAAATCGAAATAAGTTCAACAGATTAACCTTCGCGCCTTTAAAATACAGGAGAGATAAGATAGATTCCGTCTGCATCGTCTGAAGTATCATGAGCAAGCAGAAACCATGAAAATTTCTCTTACCTCAACACATACGTGAAATAACAGTTGAACGTATGCATTTAAATAGAGCTAAGTCACCGGAAATGAGAGAATTCCTCAGGGCAAGATAAAACGGAATTCAAGCATTTAAGACCGTGTCTTCACACAATTTCGCTTCATGTCAAGAAGTGAAATAAATCAAGTTGTCACAAAAACCTGAATACAGAGAAAATAAGCAAATCTACATTGATTCAACGTATGAAAATAATACAGAAGAATTAGTACTCACACGGAACACGTCGCCGTTCTCAGAAAACCACCTTCGAGACCGAAGCCCTTCACATTAAATTACCCCGCCTGTTGAAAAAAATGCTTCCGCACGGTAATCAAACTTAATGAAGCAATAAAAAAATGCACGAAGCTTGATTTTTTGCTGAACTCACGGATTCCATTTCAGGTGCACCTGTTAAAATCATTCTCCGTCATTCGCTGAAGGTGCGGTACGACAAAATAAAACGCGCTCTAACCATGAATCATAAATACAGCTCTTCCATCACCCACTGAATCCCGTAATGTTGGTTCCCAAAATTAACATACGGAAATAAAAGCATTTTCCAAAAAAAATAATAATAAAACACAAATTGAATTTGCTCACATCAACGCTGGTAACGAACGATGGAATTCAAGTCGCAATAAAGCTGAGACAAGGAAAATTAATTTACAGACGATAAATTCAGGTACAACGCAATTATCTTGAATTAATCTGGTAATTCCCTATTTTAAATTCCAGTAAGCCTTTCTTAGAAGGTTGTTAGAAAGCTTTTATGAGAAAAACTTCGCGCATTAAATACTGCATTACACCTAACAAACTAGCATTGACCTTGTTTAATTCCGAAGAAGTTTGATCGATCAATCGGGAGAAGCATTCCAAGAATCCACTGATTCCAAGTTCGAGGAATGTAGCAAATTATTTATTGGTTATCCAAGAACCTCAACATGCGCAGCGCGCCGTTCAATAATTTCCCCCAAAAAGTATCACAATATTCGCGAGTGCTTTGAAAACTTCGCAGTGTCCTAATAGAATCCCGATGCCCCTCAGCCTCCGAAGAGAGTTTGAAAGATGGACGCAACAACAAAATCAACACGAATGACAACGTAGGCTTGTTTCGCATTGGAAATAAAGCGTTAAAAAAAATCAAGATGTGCGACTTCACAAGCCGTTGAACAACGAAACACCCCGCAAACTCAAACCCGAAGAAGTCGGGCTCGCGGAAACGTTGGGTGGTCTAAGAAGGTCTTTATACTGCTGCAATGCTTCCTGCAATGGTTCACTTATCTGTGAACATGACGAAGCAGGTATACACTCGACCAGCAGCGGGTAAAGCCCGATTAGTTGATTCCACGTGGCTTCTCTTCCTGAAAAAAAAAAAAAAAAAAAAAAAAAAAAAAAACAAAAAAAAAAAAAAAAAAAAAAAAAAAAAAAAAAAACCAAGATTTAGTAAATCGGCTCCCTGAAAATTCGATGGGTAAAAAGCACTTGCAATACCTTTTTGATTTTCACTTTTCAATTTGCGCAACGATGCAATCAGAGTCGACACCGACCGAAGAACAAAGGAAACTTCTGCAACTCTTTGTCTAAAATACAGACGATGGAAGAAAATCAAAAATAAATATTTCGCTGAATCACAACTTAATGCCATGAACGAACTTCGTCAAAGGACGACGGCCCTTCTGTCGCAGTTCCTGTAAGTGCTCAGTCAAGATTTCTCTAAACCTCTCCACTAAAGATGCAACAGCTACTCTGGATGTGACACTAGAGCTACCACAGGGATCACCTTTCCCTTCTCCAGCTCGAATACCACGTTCGAGATCCTCCGGAAGAGAATCGCCACTTCCTTCTCGATGATGTATAAGTGAGAATTCAAGCAACGTATCGAAACAAGCCTTCGCAAATTTCTCTCGGAGTGGTCGTCCGGACTCCAACTCTGAAAAGCAACAGTAGCATCAGTGGTAAAATAATAAGTAATAATACTGTAGAAAGAAACGTCCCTCATAAAAAAAAAGACTTTTGCTTCATTTTATTGTAGCAAAATTCTTTTTCTTCAACGACGATTATAGAAATTAATGATGTTTGGGAAGCAAAAAACAAAAGTAACAGCTTACCGGCAAGTGACTGAGCCGAATGGATTGATCCTTTGTTTAGCAAAAGCATCACGCTTAGAAGAAACGATCGTGGTACGAAAGTTGGATGAGAAAGAATGGCGTCACGAAGTACTTCAATAACTTTGCAGTCCATTTCTTCGTCCAAGGATGCATTATCGGCGCTGTAGTCTCCAGGCGGAACACTACAAATTCCCCACAATCCAGGAATATGAGAAAAAGCCACGAAAAATAATGAATGGAGAGTGAATAACAAAAGGCTTACTGAAATGTAACAATCACCTGAAAGAGTCACAATGACTACAGCACGAATCTTACCTTGGCGTAAAAAGGTAGTCATGAAGGCATTCGCTGAGCTTATCCCACATTTCGGCAAAAACCGCTCCAGAACTAGTTCCATGAAGTTTTCTCGCAACCGGCAAACCCACTTCAACAGCAGCTATCAACAAGTTGAGGGCAGCATGCCAAGATGGCTTCGAACACGAAGGGCCAATTACACCCCAGTTCCACTTCAGTTTCAAGGGGCGACGAAGAGTCTGCAATGGGCCAGATTTGTAAGCAAGTTCCAAATCACTTTGAATCAGGGACTTGGAACAGAGCCGGAGCCCGGATCAGAGCAATTTTAGCAGGAGCAAAGCGGAGCCTGGAGCAGGCATAATTTTTGGCTGATCTGTGCTCAAGGACTGAGATAAAAATTGAAAAATTGGGGGAGAACCCCCAGCCCTACCATATGCAACTGTTTGGCTGGCACCAGTCAACAAAACTACCTCCCTTGCTCCAAGGCAATCAAGTCCTCAAACCATGAACATTCTTCCCCTTGTTTCTCAATTATTATCACGTTGAGAGGGGTTATCCTGAATCCCTTTTTTTTTTCAACAACCTCAAAGATGTGAATACTTGTGTGCTACACAATTATCACATGGTTAACTTGTATTTATTTTTCAATTAAATCTGAAAAATTGGTTAGTTTGTGATATATAAAGATACCAAATGAAGCAGTTTGGAGAGTTGAGAAAAACCCTGGTTGCCCTACTACAGTACAGGTGAACATTTCATACTCTTCAGTCAGTACCAGTGTTCTCCTTTTTAAGCCCACAGATCATAAAATTTTTGTTGTGGACTGGCACACTTCCAGAAAATTTTCTGCATGCTGACACAGTTTCATAATTGTTGCAGACTCAAAAATGTTTTACTTGAAAGACTTCATGGGTGGTACTTAGAAAGTTTTTGCTTTATTGAAAAAAGTAAGCCAAGAACCAATGAAGCAGCTACTGTACAGTGGAATGTCCTCAAAAAATTAGAAAAATCAGCTAGAAGAAAGCTTTCTTTGAATAAAATTAAAATAATTCATGTCAGCAGGTGAAAATTTGTCTGAAGCTCTGATAGGAAGAAATCAAAAAAATTTTTGTCATATAACTCAAACTGCAATTATCTTTCTGAAATTTCAGATAAAAATAGCAGATTTCAGTGCTCCTTTCCTTGCATTATGCTGAGGAAAATGCACCCCAGACTGGCAAAAAGCTTCTGCAGAGTGGCGCTGATCTGTGGACCATGGATTGGGGAACACTGGTCTATACATCAAAATTTTGGGGACCATAAACATTTTTACTGAGATAGATTTTTTTAGAGAACCTCTTTGATATAGGTATTGGCCCATATGGGCCTCTATATTATATATTATAGCTGAATAGAAATTCACAAAGATTAGAATTTATATACTGTGCTTCAATGATTTTTTCATCCCATTCACATCAGGTTTTCTTATGTTGTGCCAATTGTTGAAAATCCTTATTGCCTATAGCGCACATATACAATCTAAGCAAAAATTCTATTTAATGAGATCATTGATGAAAATTAGTTTGTAATAATATACTTTTTATAGCATTGCTCCTATGGAACAACTGCTTGGACCAAGAAGAATATGTTATTGAAAAAGAAAGTAATAAAATTCATTCTTATATAATTTTACTGTAAAAGTCAGTGGTCCTGAAAAGTGTCTGGAGCACTGAAGCAGAGCACCAGCCTGGAGCAGAGAAAAAAAATTTTTTCCCTGCTCCAAGTCCCTGCTTCGAATCCTCATTTTAATTTTTTTCCAATTTCTCGAAAAAAAAAAATAAAATAAACCACGCTCGTAGAATAATTCCAAAATTCAATTTTCCGTCCGCACAGGAAGGTTCTAAGATAAGATACTGTATACGCTCTATCAAGACTGATTGCCAGAGGAAGTCTATTGAATTCTCGAGAAAAGCGATGACCATTTCAGAAGTTAAAAGCTGCTCGTTACCTCCACTATCTTGACGAGGATTTGACCGTTGATCACAGAGGGCTCCTGCGCAGTTTTCTTATAAAGTTCAAGCTCAAGAAGCAGCACGCGTTCCGAGAATACTACAACATTGGCGGTGTTAGATCCTTCTCCCTGAAAAAAAAGAAGTTGCAATAGACCGCCCATTTAAAAAAAAAGAATTCCAAAATCGTAGATAGATTTCGTTCTGAAAGTGAAATTTACCTGCCCGCGCACGGATTCAGAATAACCGACAGCGGCGAATCTGAGCAGCTCTTCATGAAGTCGTGGTAACATTGATTTCAACCGGTCACTGGACATCACTTCCTGCGATTAAATAAACAAATACAAATTCACCAATCACGCTTCTTGAAAAGAAGAAAGAAGACGGACTACTGTACCTCGGTTACAGGCTGGAGTCCGTTCAAAATCGCATCTTGGAGAGGGGTGAGGGAATTGGGTTCCAACAATGAAAGCATATCTTCTCCAGAGGCTGATGTGGGCATGGTTAAAACTTGGCCGATCACTTCGCAAAGGCACTGCAAATCTTTTTCAGAAAAGCTGAAAAAAACAAGACAATAAAACCATTTATCCCAGACACAAATCGAAATTCGAATTATCTCAAATATTAAATGTTTCCCCCTTTCCCCCGAAGTACCCTCCACCGTGTATCACTAGTCAAGAAATCCATTCAACTGACTCAATAGGAATAATTAATTTGCGGAATATTGTACTTGAATAAAATTGATATACAGTACCGTACTCAAGTGCAATACTGTACAAGAGAAATTTGAAGATGTTCAAATAATGTATAATAGTTGGAACTTTTCCTGGACATCATGAAAAAATGAGCCGTACTCACTCCTCACGAACTAATTGAAATAAAGCCTTGAATATTAGCATCAATGCAGTCAGGAAACTCTGAGTAGGTTGATAAGGCTTTTGAGGACAGATAGGGCCAGTTGCCAACAGTCCTATGCGGCACCAGACGTCCCACGCTTCTTTCCAAGCAACTCTTCCTTCAGGTGACACAATGTAATCTGCATCAAACTTCGCTACTGCAGGGTTGTCTTCTTTCTTTTCATCTTTCCCAGCCATCGATTTAATCATCACGATTTCGTGAAACGCCTTGAGAGCCGATAGAGAAACCTAGCGAAGAGGAAAACAAAATAATGGTTTGGAAATAAACGCATGTTAAGGTCAAAAGAAGATAACTAAGCATCGCAAGTTCTTCAAGAAAATTGTGACTACCTCCTAAGCTAATGAAAAGCATTCAGACATAAAAATGCAGAATTAAGGATTCAGGATTTCTGAAAACTGGTATTATACAGCACCAATTAACCTCAGAATCATGATGAAACGCTGCTTTCTCGATAAACCCGAGTAATCTGCTCCAGGCCGTGACGAAGTCGGACGATTTGCTCTGGCTGAACAACACGTCTCGTTTCGAGAAGAAAACTCGGGCTACACCGCTCAAGCTCATGACCTAATTTTCACGAAAAATTTCCACACTATTAGGTCTCCTCTATGAAATAAGGTGACAGTCACAGGACTGACTTGCGTCTCAGCCCACTGCTTCTGTGCAGTATTCCTCGAATGATGAATGAGGATGCTCTTTGAACCGCCTTCGATTTCGACCTTGTCACACGAAGCAGAATCCAACGTGTCGCTCACCCTTTCCAACAGAGGAAATAAAACTTGGAGAATCATAATCCTCCACGTTTCCGGCTTCAAGAAGTGACCGTGAGCAGAAATTGTCGAAAACAAAGTTTGGCTTGCAGATTTCCTCACAGCTGGGCGAGAATCAACACAAAGGTCACCTAATGGAGAACATGGCGGGAAGAAATAAATAATTATTCAAACGTTAATATCCCTGTTACAATAGCGAGACCAGCAAAACTTTCGCGACAAAATGAAACCGAGAAGCGGATTACGATACTGAAAAGACAAGTTATTCATTTGTTCATGCGTCAACTGATTGAACAGGAAATACAAACCTAATTGGGCATAAATCCGCATCCACAACTTGTCCAGCGGAGGCATGTAAGGCACGTCAGGGAATGCAGGGAGCAATATGTCTTTTTCCGAGAGAGAATTTTCTAGCTTCGTCCGGTTTTGGGAAAAATGGTCCGATATGTTCCACTAGAATGATGCAAACACATATATAATAAAGACAAAGTGTAAATAAATAAAAAAACGAAGATACTAACGATCAGTCCAATAGCAGTTAGAGAAATATTCAACTCCTGAGTTTGGTTTCCGAACTTCGCGACAGTGTCCACACAAATTGGAAGACAGGTAACGGGCATCACAGTGAGAAAATCGTTGACAACGAGATGCAGGCACTGAAAGGCGGTACGCACAAGATTCTCACTGAAAAAAGGAAAAAAATCATTAGCTAACTTCCGATGTTAAAAAAATCGAATAAAATTCTAAAAATTACGCCCTCTGTTGAAAAAAACGCAAATATTTTCAGATTTTAAAAATTATTGTGCCGAAAAGTAAAAAAAAGGTTTATGTTATTCCCACCAATGTTAGGAAACTTCGCAAGCTCATGATTCAGCACAAATAAAATACAGTACTGTATGTATTTCAACGATCTTCCTTTAAACCCTCAAACTGCAGATTTCCAATAAGATTTTCCCGTTCAACAATTTCAGAAATGAAAACTACTTTGCCAACGTTGAGTGAGTTTGAGCTTGGTATAAATGGTATCCCACAATTCCAAATAAAAGACTCTTTTCTTTCTCAAAACTACCGTACTGAGAAAGTTGTAGAACACGCAGAAGCTCAGCTGCTCTCCTTCCCTGCTGAATTTCAACAATTGCATTTTTTTTTAATTCGGATTTCTAACCAAGACACTTGTTGAGGAGAGGAACTGAAAAAATAACGAATTTTCATATCTGCATTGATGAAAATGTAAGAGTTCATCTACTTTTTTAGTCGTAGAACCAAAACCTATTCTTATAACGCTACGACATTTATTAATAGATCGATTAAAAAGTATAGTCAGAAAAGAATAAATAACTATGAGGTTAAATAAAACTCTCAGAATCAACAAACCTGTGCGACTCGCGAATCGAGCCAACAATGGTCAGCAGCGTGGGCCATGCATGGTGCAGAGATTCTCCCGAAGAGTGCAATATCTGCAGGACAGCTTCCAGCTGCTTTTGTCGAACATCCGGATGCATGTCGGATGGGAGCTGGAGCAATGGAGCCAGAAGTATGGTCTGCAGCTCCTAAATATAAATAAACAAAAATGACATAGAAACATAAAATACGAACAAATTAGGCTTCAACGAACCTGATTCTCCTTCAATGGAGGATTATATGGAAACTGCAAGGCGTTTTGAACCAAATGCGTCACGGCTTCGACGCCGAAGTCTCGCATCTTCGGATGCGCGTGAGCGCTGACTTCTAAAAGGTGACTGGTAACCGGCCTCCACAAAATCTGAACACGGCTCAAGTTGACGATTCCAGTTTCAAGCAGCTTTGCGGCAGCGAACAAAGATGGCTCCTGGGAAACGTCAACCATCCATGAAGCAAGATTCCACACATCCCAAAATTTCAATAACCATTACTCTGTTTGATTGCGACACCATTTCCATGGCTTCTTCGGACAACTTGCACAGCGCGTCGATAAAATGGTGAAGCGCAACTTCGTCCAAATTTCTACTAGATTCAAAGAGCTGGTTCAACATTGATGATAGAACAGGGATGTCCGCCAAAACTGCTGTAGTAAGCACGGCATTAGTTCCCACGGCGTTCGTGACATGAGATGATGGCACAGGCTCGTTTCCCGAAACACTTGCTGCACTCATGACCACGCCACCCATACCGACATTGGTGGCATTAGTGGGATGAACAGATTCGGAAAATAAAGTCTGGCCTGAAATATTTCCCGGGACCATGTTCGTCGAACGAGCGGATGCACTGGTTGTTGGCTTAAGCCCCAAAATCCACACGAGATGCTGAGAAATCATCAAAATTCCAGTCAAGTTGAATATACCATTTCAAAAAATGATCAAGGCATTGATAAGAACGGGTGCGAATAATTTAAAAACTCCACCTGAAGTGTAGTAAGAACTACGTGCCACGCGTTGTCCAAAATTTTCCCATGAGCATTTGCAAAAGATAGAACTCCTTTCATACAGAGCAAGTTTTTCGCTGTTAGCATAACAGGGCCAGACTGGGAAACACCTAAAAAAACACGGAAAAATTATGCAACGATTCAATTTGGCACTTCCCCTCTAATAAATTCTACGAATAAAGGTTCATGAACTTCCAAGAATACATAAAAATTTCGATAGTTGAAAAAAAAATCAATATACAGTACACAGCTCACAACTGGAGGCATAAAACCATAACTTACTTCCTATGAGTGCAGTAGTATTCAAAGGGGGGCCAACTGCAACCACTTGTTGTTGAGGTTCACCGTCAGTTCCTGCGGCAGAAAGTGATCCATCGGAAGGTGACAGTATTCCCGGTACTGACGAGGTTCGAGTCACTGACGATCCTGAAAATGCAAGAAAGAGTTACTGGGAATTCTGCGATATGAATACAACTTTGAAAAAGTTCAGAATTATCACAAATGTCATTAGTTACCTCGTTGAAGAGCTTTTGGAGATCCAGGACACATTAAGACAGACAAATTATAGGACGGAGGGAAACATGACCGACAAATAGCTCGAACGAAGTCATCCCTAGTGTCATTCACTCCCGAAGTACCGCACATCCATGCGTACTGCTGCATAGCTTGAAGAATTTGTTCCGTAAGCGCATCATCGACACTGCATTTCAGAACACAATAAATAATCCCCACAGCAAACGAATGTGATCCAACGCTTCCAAAAATTACCTCGCACGAAGAAGAAATTGGAGAGCAGACAGCAGCCCAGCACTCGAAGACTTTATCAGTTGTATTTGCAGTTGAGTTTGGCTGGAATGACTTCCCGATTTCTCAGTATCAATTGGAGAGCTAATATAGTCTCCACCAATCACAGCATTCAAGGAGCGCACCGTTTCCATCAAACAGCCAAAAGCGAGGGTGATACCGTAACCTTCCGCAATATTCTGAGGAGAGTCCGTCTTGTCTAGCATTTCCAAGCTGAAGAAATATATGAAATTAGGGATTACGGCTTTTCTCGTTCTTTTTACAAGCATTACGAAGACGCTGTCTTTGACTCAGAAATCGATAACTTTTCGGGCTAAGAGAGGAGAATGATGGGTGATGAGGGAATTACAAGGCGAAAATATCTTCTCACAACAATGCCTTCGGCTGGCTACTGATGAGACCCTTGCCCACGGGCAGACACACTCCACGAAATAAGAATCCCGGCTGACCTGACGCAATCAGACTTCCAACCACAGATTGCGACGGCGACGACAATCCTTGAGCACCTGAATCATCAAATAATTCCACATTTCATAACTAATTTTCCTGTTCCACATAATAATATATCACACGTCATCCCTTGAGTATCGAAATGCGCGTCGTCGCACTTACCGACAGGACTCCCAAATGCTCCCATTTGCTTCATGAACAAGCTTTGGACGTATGCTGCCATAGAATTCATCATATCTTGAAAAATATTAGTCGCATTGGGCTTCATATCGTACGATTCACAGAACACCTTCAACAGTTGCGGTTGAACAACCAACTTGTGCAGCACTTCCAGAGCCAGTGCCCTCTGCCATGCAGGCTTGTCAGGATCCAGAAATTTCATGATCAACGACAAGAAAATTTCGCATTGTGTAGCCTGAAAAATGTGATAAAAATTCAAAACAGTACTGCATATACCGTGATGTATCAACATAGAGAAATACATGAACACGAAAGAAAACTCACGAGCAATTCATAGTACTTCGTAACAAGGACGGACACTAGCCTCAGCAGGCGCATTGCAACTGGAAAATGAGGCTTATCCAGGGTACCAGCAGAACCTGCACTCCACCCTCGATCTGGCTGAGACTGCGGAGACATTAGGGCAGGATTCGTCTGAAGCCGAAATTTCACATTTGGTGAGAACAATTTGATAACCAACGCGCAGACTCTCTCCTTCAAAAGGAAAGCAAATTCCGGATGCTGTGAAGTAAAAAAGAAAACCCATGAATCTCACGGCGCTTCGAATACATAATTTCAATTTCTGTTGTATGGGTGTTACCAAATTATCATTGCACATGAAGTAAAATACAGTACATTAAAATATATTAAATAATTTTTCATCTTGCGCGAGAAACCTACATTAAATCGGCAGCATACATCCAACTGGTAGAGCTAAATGAAGATGAAAAAATTGGCAGAATTATTTCAATACGAATAGCTTTTCCCAACTAAATTAACTTGTATGCATGATATCCGAAAAAAAAGGACCAAAATTATTGTGGAATCCTTGATTCTCATCCTAGATAAATCAAAACGTTAATTCTCACGAAATGTATTTAACAATTTGAGCGTAGAAATTACTCGTTGAACATTTTTCAAGCTTCAGCCTCAAGGCACTAAAAAAAAGTTTAATCGTTCACTTCATAAAAAAAAAAGAATAATCAAGACTTCTTACCACGCTGAAAACCGACGCAAAATCTGTCAAGATCGATTCGATCAATTCGAGACCGAAAGTGCGGGTCATTTCGTTGAGGCCTCTGAGCCAATGCGGGCGTTCGCCGTTGATGAGCAAAATTAAATCCTGAAACAGCAGAAACGCGTCTGCTGCGGATGGTCGAAGTCCTGTCGGGGGATGCTCGGATACGGATTTGAGGGTTTCCAAATCATTGTCTGACATGGAACCAGATTTATCCTCAAACTTCCCATCCTCAACAACAACTCTTTCGAAGACATGAGAAATCAATTGCTGAACCGTGGCTGCTGCCGTGTGTGAGGTGGTTGGATCCTTCGTGAAGTGCAATCTGAAGCACAGTACGAGACACTAGAAAAAAAAATAATGGAGTACATATGAAATTTCATCACAGTACCACAACTGAAAACACATACTGTATATTGCACGACAATTTTTAACATTCAAGGGTAAAGACAAACCTTGGCTAATGTATATCCTTGTACAGTGAGACCTGAAGTGACGAGGAGCGTAGCCGTCTGAAGCAATTTGACTTCCTCAACGCCATTTTCCATCAGAAGCCATAAACAGTCAATGATGTGTTCACCACCTTTCTTATCCACACCCTAAATCATAAAATAAATTTTTTTTCACACAAATTAGCCCATAAAGAAACAGAATTCAAACCTTGGCCAAAATCAGCTTTTGAATGGTGCTAAGGCACATGTGCACAATTTTAGGATCTTTTGTTTCACAACCCTGCACGAGCGGGAATAAGATCTGACTGGACATCTGGGCAATCGTGGCTTTCGTTGCGAGGCCATTGCGAAGCGTCAATTGGGCTTCCTCAGCACTCTGCATAATTTGGAGTAATCATTAACCACACAAGAAATATCCACACAAAAATCACTCACCTCTTTGATCAACGGGAATTTTTTCTTGCTTTCAATTGACAGCAATTTGAGGTCATTCTGTATGTGATCTAGCATTATTCAATGCATATATATCACCTTGAGGATTGACGGAAATATATCAATTCAAGATCCCAGAAAAGCCACGAGAACAAATGGTTTCGAACACATTTCATCATGAGAAAAAAAACACCCCGAAACAAAACTATATTCGATCTCAGCGATCCTGGCCACGAGCGTCGGTTTTGATGTAACCACAAAAGAAAAGAAAAGTCTCATACATGAAAAATAAATGAATAAAAATTTGAGCTACAAGAGTTTGCACGTTCGATAGAAGCAAATTCATGGAGGAGAAAGAAAACGGTCTCAATAGATTCAGTAAGAGTTTGTTCTAAAAAAAAAAAAAAAAGAAACTAGTTTGCACAGGTATCGAGATAAAATCACAATACGGCCACCGCAAAGCTACGTGGATTCCCAAGGTTCTCGCATCTCGAAATGGAAACAAAGTCATCTCATTCGGTCCCGTGGATGTTGAACAGTTTTGCGACTTCATTCAAGTCTTCGAATGACTTGCCTTCCTTTAATACACGACGCGCTATCGGCATCTTGTTGAACACGTTCCACAAAACCATGCCCACGATGATGTTGTTCCGCAGGTAGAAAATCACACCTTTGCCATAATCTTCTCCAGGTTGCGGGTCGTGCATCGCACCAATATCCACAGGGTTCGAAACTGTGTGTAGAGCAGCTTCTGTCGCTTTTTCTTCCGTTTCTGAACGAATGCTTTCCCCTGTCGCTTCCACGATTGCTTGCGGAGAATCAGCAGATGTGGCTTTGGCAAAAACCCCAAACGTAGGTAGTGACGAGTCCACGATTCCTATTGCTTCATAACCAACATCTGGTCCAAGGTCTGACCAAAACATGGACTGATGCCAGTAAGGTTTGCGAGCTCCAGTCATGTTCTCGCCGGCCAATCGACCGGAGACCACGGCATGATCATGATGTTCCACGCGACGACGACCAAGTTTTACGTCAAAGAAACAGGCTGCATCCCCAGCCACCCACAGATTTGACCTAGCTTCAAGCTCAGCATTGACACGATATCCACCGAAAACGTCGTCCAGCTCCAATCCTGATGTGTACGCAAGGTCATCATTTGGTTTAAGACCGACGGCTACAATAACAAAGTCGGTTTTCAACTGAGATCCGTCATTAAGACCGAGAACTACTTTTTTCCCATCTTCCAATTTCGCTGTCGTTACATGAGAGTTGGATACTACGTTCACTCCTTCGCGCTTCACTTTTGCAGTCGTCCAGGAACTTAAATACTCAGGAAGCACTTTCGCCATGTTTCCTTTTTCAGGAAACACTTGGTTAATTTCAACCTTATACTTCTTATCTTTGGCTAGACGGCCAAGTGCACAAGCAAGCTCGGAACCAAGGAAACCTCCTCCGATGATGGTAACCGATTTCACTTTCTTCACAACCTCCGACAGATATTGAAAATCTGAGATGTTACGGAAAAGCATCACGCGATCTTGTAGTTTCCTCTCAGCGTTTTCAAAAACAGCTAGATTTTTCGGCTGACCGCCTGTAGCAATCAAACATTTATCGTACTCAATTTCTTTGCCATTGCTGAGGTAGGCACGACGTTCATGGACATTCACTTTGACGACTTTCGCGCTCGTAGCAACAGCAACACCGCCATTTTCCTTTTCAATCAATTCTTCTGGTTTACAGTAGAAATCTGGTTGTTCGAAGTAAATCGATCGTTCTTTGCCGTTCCATTGCTTGAACATGAGATTTTTGAGAGACGCCGCGTCATCGCCAAACCATAGTTCTTTGGAGAGCGGAGGTCGCATGTATGGTTTGAACGGTTCATCCGTAACGACTAGGACTTTCGCTTTCGGGTCGTTTGACTTAATGGCGCGAAACGCAGCAAATGAAGCAGTTCCACCACCAATCAGCAGATAAGGCACTTTTTCTGGTAAGTTGATATTCTCCAATAAATTGGGAAACTTCGGGCGGAGCGGTAAGGTGTCATCCGTAAGTCCAGTGATCGAAATTTTAGATGGAGACGATGATCCCTTGTTTCGACTGGAATACAAATATCCGATGGTAGCTAATCCAGCAGCTCCTACAGCTAAGCCGATGTATGATTTATTAGATGATGACTGTGATGAATCCTTCTGGTCGGCGAACTTGACATTAGAAGTAGATAACGATGCAATTTGGTATCTGAACAGGGATGAGCGACCGGGTAGAACCGAAGATCCTACTCGAAACATTTTACCGAAATCTAAGGAAGAAAAAAACCACACATTCATGAGAGATGTGCTTTCTCCGTCGTTAGCCCTGAGAAACACACCTGGAGCTACTGAACAAAAGCTCTAAAAAACGACGAAATCGTGAAGAAATGCTTGTACGACGATTCACGAAAACCCTGAAAAATGAAACGTCGATCGACAATCATGAATATTTCAGCATCATGCTTTCTTGGGAAACTTACCTGAAAAACACCGCAACACAAAAATCAAACCCGGACTTGCACGGAACCTAGGTTTAGGCAAAGCGTTTTCGCGTAAGTGGCGTCCTCATACAAGGCACAAATCACGGCTGATTCGTTCGAATAGGACTAACGCCATTGAAAACTTCTGGGGATACGAAGCATGAGGCGATAACGCCTGCAAATCACGTGCATTTCTTCTTCTTTGGAAAATAAGTTACACGATCTGACGGCACTCAAAGGAGGTTCCTGATCTAAGCCAACGACACACGAATAATACCTCGCGCGTCTCACATTCGTCCGGCATCGTGACGCCACCTTCCACTTTGAAAGCCGTTAAACTCGGGGCAACATCTTTCACGCCGAGATTAATACGGCCACTCTGTCCCACAGCCACCAGCAGCGGCTTGCAGTGAGTGACTAACTGCAACGATTTAGGCTTTTAGGGTGTTTATTCTGGGAAGACTTTTATGCTCTTTAGGGGAGAAAGAGAGATGGCGCATATTATAAAATACATTTTAAATAAATAGAAAACCTTAGATTAGGTTATTCTGGGTTTCAATTAGACATTATATTGTCTCTCTAATAGATTAAAAACCAATTTCAGCATGAAATTCCTACTCAACCACATATGTTATCCATAAAGTCACTCATTAATTTCCTTCTGAAGGGGGTGTAAGTGAATAGCCCCTTAGATGAAAAGGGTGAAAGTTAATGGTGGTGAGTAGAAAACTATGTTAGAATGGTTCTCCCCATATTGTATGGGTTCTCTACAACAAAATTCTGGGTGCAATACATTTTTTCTTGGTTCATCGGATTAGTTCCCATTTCATTGTAATGTAGAGAGAATTTATCCATATCATGTGTTTCGTAACAAAATATATACCAAACTGTAGCGTATGCATATTAGGTACCAAATATGCACATAGAGATAAATTCAGGATATCTGAGAGACTGAGACTCTATCGTCATTAAATCTGTATTATTAATAATGCATGATAAACATGTACAGTATTTACATATTTTTAAAATAAACAAGAAATACAAGTACTGTAAATCTTGGATTCTCTCTCTTCATGAAATTCATCTGGATGAACACCTTCACGAACATAAAAAAGCAAGCCAAAATTCTGCCAACCGCCTTTATCCGTTAAATGAGAAACTCTTGAAGATATTTTTCTTCCGACAAACAGTTGCTGAAAACGCTACGGAATATTACGTGCTCAAGTAATTTTGATTCGATGGGAATCCAGACCGAAGAAAGCCGAACAGCGTCAATTGCTCATCACGAAGAGTCATTCAAATCGGGATCCCATTTTACAAGCAACCCTGACACTATCCTTGAAGAATTTTCAGACGAGACGTCGTTGAAAACAGACGACGACAATTCTTCCTTTGATGGCCCTGGCACAAATAACTCGGTCGGCTCCGCAGTTTTGTTCATTAATGAGGCCCTGGGAGCCGGAATAATCAATTTTCCTTACGCTTACAAAATGGCTGGTGGGATCGCGAGTGCGCTAGGCATTCAACTGGCAAGTCATTCGAATGAAAAATCATTCAATTTAACAAACTGTACACAATCTTCATCCCACGTATTCTGATTCATTGTTCCGTAGAAAAGCACATCTGTTACTCCAGCTGCAACGCGCTCAAATTACTGTACTGTATACAGATTTTCTGCAGCGATGGAGAGGAAATCCGAGCATTTATCTCTCAACCTTATTCGAGAAACGTTCATGACTCGACTGGAAAACTGTTTTCAATCTTTATTATATTTGAAGTAAAAGAAAAGAAGAGAATTTCGGAATTATCCTACGACGCCGTTATACATTCGAGCGAAAAGATTCGGTCTAAAAATTTAGCTAATGTTTATACAGAAATGTCCCCCAACTGTTCAATTGGGTAAACGGTACCATCACAAAACAAATCGAATTGAGGTTTATTCATCCGATTCATTTAATTCCTTGAATGTTTATCTTTTATTTTTTTACGAGCTGGCATAAAAACGTGGAAAGTTTCAAGAGAGTAACCTTGAAGAGATTTGCCATGTACTGTACTGGTTTAAGTATGAGCGGGCTGTCGTAGTTCTTCTCACATTAATTTATCTGCAGACAGTCAGTCTGGCAAAGGCTATTCCCATTTGTCATGGTAATACAGCATTTTCATAATTTCAGATTAAATTTCCACAATATTTATGCCAGAATTATGAAGAAAATGCAAGCAAATCAGTTCTCGAATGGAAGAAATAATATTTTTTCCATAAACATAAAAAATAATTCAGCGCGAATTTCGTGGATTTTTAAAAAGTCTAGTCTGGCGAAAGAAGAGTTAGAAGACCAAACTTATTTTTTTGTTTTATCCAAGGGGTTTGTGGAACTGGGGAAAGAAAGCTTAAATTAGGTAATTGAAGAACACATTTATTCTCTCTTCTCCTTTCCATCAAATAAATACGGTACTGGAAATATTTTGACAAAATCTTGAAAAATTCTGACATGTCACATCGAAATACCAACATATTCTCCTGGCTTCTCGAAAATTGTTACAAGTCACATATTGTAACAGGAAAATCCTTGCACGACGCGAACTCCCTCAAATAACCCTTTGAAGATATCACATGAGAAGTTTCAATTATATAGGATATTTATATTTTCCAAAGGTCTGCTGCTGTAACTCGTCATAACATCACATGCAAGTATACAGTATATAAATAAAAAAATGATTGAAGTTAATGTTATTATATTTCAATTAATTTATTGTTTCCAAGTTGATATCTTAAAACTGTTTGGGAAATGTTCGAATATTGGTCTACAATGTTTCGTTCACTTCGAAATTTTCGCTGATGGCGTCTTTCAAATCCAATACACACTTCCCTTTCAAATTCCAAAAGCTTTCAATTTGGGTAAAATACAGTAGAGGTATTTGTGCATTAATCTGGACCAGTTCATCCGATCAAAGGCTGAGATGAATAGGTGAGGAATAAGTGCGTTCTTTTATTTTTCTTATCTTTACAGATATTTGGTTTATTGGCATATCCTCCGCAATTGATACTGGCATTTTGCGCGGATCAAGTCCGGCGTTCGACATATCACGAGGTCATTTCTGTGTGCGGAAAGCTATGGAGCGTTTTGGCAGCAATAGTCATCATGCTCTTCGCCTTCGGAGTCTGCACGACTTACCAAATCACGATTGTCACGCAAGCAGACAACAGTGCGTATTTCAGGATTAGATCCCTTGAGTGACACACAAGATGAAAAAATTAATAATCTCAGTTCAGTTTTTGAAGCGTTTCTGGGCACCGATTTCCATAAGTACTGGTACACGCACCGAGCCTTCATTTTAGCAGTGACCTCCATCTTGCTCATTGCGCCGTTCATTTTTCCGAAGAAGATTGAATTTATCAAATATGTCAGGTGCGGTGTGATTGAAAAAAAGCTGACGTGAAAACTACGCACTGACACGCAAAAAGATTGTGACATACAGGATTTTGATTTTATAGTTTTTTAGGTACTTTTGCCGTGACGTACTTGGCGGTGTTGATCGTTATTGAGTACCTAGCGACGGAAAATGAATCTGGGCCGGTGCCGACAAAACCAGAAAAAATTTCTGACATCATATTTCTCATCCCGACAATTTGTTTCGCATATCAGGTTTTTCTTTCGATTTTTCACCATTATAAATACACATATGACATTTTTAATTTATGTGCAGTACGGTACAGTATTTAAAAAATGAAAACTTATCTATTTCCTCGCCAAATGGAGCAATTTCGTATTTTTTTCTGTTGGTTTTTCTAAGCTTAAAAAAGGAGAAACCCAGACAGGGACGTCTCTGAGAAGCGATTTCTCGTCATCAAAATAACGTAGCACCTTTATACCTTGGAATAAGAAAACTGTAGCTACGATTTTGTAAAGAACATTTTGCTTATGTCCCTGAGAGCAGATTAGCATCGATTTCCCATCAGTACTCGTACTTACTGGACTAATTAATAACCTCAGTTTTTTGCCAAAAATATCTGTTTAAAATACTAATGTGGCCTAATTCCTCCCATATTGAAAGCATTGAATTAATAATTGTAACCTATCATTCAAATGCAAGAATATATTTGCTGAATATATGTGTCTTGAATATATTTGCTCATATTGCTTTGAAATGAAGAAAGAAAGAATTTCTCAAAGTTTCGATGAGTACAATGATATTAAAATCAACTACAGCAGTTGGATGCTTACAGCTCCCGGTTAATTGATGAAAATCGCAAAAATCTTACTGATAATTATAAATACGTTAATAAATTTTATATCTGCTTCTATTCAGTTGAAACTCGAGACCACATTCATTAAGAAAAACTCAGGATAGATTTTCAGATTGCGCAATTTTTATCCTTTACTGCTGGATTATGGCTGCCCCGCATCAAGGTGTGATCAATTGTTGCATGTGGATTCGACAACACATTTTATTTAGTTTCAATTTTAAAAAGATCTTAATTTTATGCCGATTAACGCAATGCTGTTTCATGCTGACCTTTGATTTCAGTTCGATTTTTTTTCCGTATAGTGCCATATGGGAAGTGTTCCAATTTACGCCGGTCTGCAAAACCGGACTTTGCTGAAGTACGGGACCATTGTCGGGCTAGTGTTTATTTTCGTGACAATCATTTACGCAATGGCTGGAATTTTCGGTCTGTTAACCTTTGGCTCCAAAGTAAATCACGACATTTCCCGGGGTTACGACGCAAAAAGGCCTGAAGTAATCACGCTAAACGCCGCCATCTTCTTGGCACAGATTGCCACCTATCCGCTAATTTGCTTCTGTGGAAGGTGACAGTTCGGATATTAAACATGAAACGAAAGCATATTTATGATATCTTTCGCAGGGCCACGAAGGATGATTTGAAAGACATACAAAATACGATTATGTTATTATACATGGAACTGAACTTCGGTTATCCAAGTTGCCGTCAATATTGCCCTATAAATACTCTTGGATCTCTAACAACTCGAATTCAAATCCCCTAGTGATTGAAAAATTAAGAATTTCTGAATCCGGAATGCATGAATCAATCAAATCAGACGCATACACAGTAAATCGCATGTAATGGATATACCAGCTAATTGACCGACGCTTCGTCCTTTATTTTTTTATGTTTTATAATTACAGTAATTTATTTTCATGATGCTTTTATCGTTATCCTGAGGTTCATTCATTTTGTCTTTATTTGGCTAATTCCCTATCGTTTGTTGAGAGCTCAAGACGTGGAAATTAATCAGAATGATCTATTCTCAATTGCATTCGTAATTTTGGAATTTTCTTAAAAATTAAATTTCGATCTTCGGTGGTATTTCTTCCGTGTTTTTTCTTTCTCATGAGACATTTCTCGACTCCTTTCTTTTTCGCTTTTGTGGCATTCTCTGCTGAAAACAGACTCAAGATCTTGTTCGTATAACCTGTGCGTCTAGTTATACGCCACAGATAAACAAAATTAAATCTACCTTTCACCAAGTTTTACTCCTGAACTTGATTATTTATCGCCCTTTTTATTTAGGGAAGCTGCGAGAAATTTACTGCTCACATCAATCAACAAAGACAGAAATGATCTGAGCTCGAAGGAAGAATTCTGGTACAGAATAATTCTGAGCAGTATTTGGCTGCTAACGACAACAATTTTAGCAATATTTGTGCCAAACGTCACCGTTAGCATTCGCGCTGTTGGAGGATTAGCTGCTCTGCTGATTTTCTTTTTCCCCGGTGAGCAAATGAACACAAATACTGGTAAAGTTTACGTTTTGCAAAGAAATTCTTGTTTTTCTCAGGTTTATGCTTGATTTTCGTTTTGCAACAAAAACGAGATGCACTGACATCCGTCGGGATTTCTGGTAGAATATTGCCGGCATTCTGGATTTTGGCAGTGTTCTACGTCTTTTTCGGCATAATTTTGTTCGTCGGCACCACGATGAAATCCGTCTACGAAATAGTCAACAGCAGGAAGGAATCTTGATCCTGAAATCACCACCGCATGAGAAGTGATTCAATGTTTTCAGCGTTTCTTGAGTATCCTGCTCAGTTGAAATAAAAGTGAGAACTCATGAGATTTCCTTGCGGGAATTCTCTGGACACAATTCTTTTAAAACAAGCGTCAAATTATTCACTTCCTCCCTTCTAACAAATTGCGAAAACTTAGCAGTGTAAAGGCTGGATGATACTTCTTCGCTCCACTGTGATCAGAGATTTTAATGAGTTTATTTGTTATCATGAGTGTGATTGACTTTTTTCATTCGAAACGGTGAGAAAGTTTTGACTCTTCCCTGATATAATGAAGCAAAGAAATAATTCGTCCCCGTTTCCACGGACATTTTGCAAAAAATAGATATCTATATCCAGATGATCTGATTTTTCCCACAGACATTACAGCGCACGTTTTCTGCGCAAAAAGGAGGATAATCTGCCGTATTCAATTTCTAAAGCTCCCCAGTGTTGGTCAAGACCTTCGCAGATTCTTCTACAGCATTTTCCAGTTATTAATCTCTTTTATCAATTCCCGTGGCGGAGTGAAATCTGGCTTTATGCGAGCCAATGTGGTGGAGGTATTAAATAAATTACCGATTCCGCTGACCAGCTTTCCTTCATGGCGGAAGGATTAAAGTCGGATTCGCCTACGGATCGAGGATCCAAGGATGGGTTGGATTCTGAAGTGAGACCCAGTCAAGAAGGGAAAGAAGGGCTTGAAGGAGAGGATGATGAGGCTAAACGGGGAAATGGTTCCGGCGAATACGAGTTCGCGGGAACCAATAACATCCCGGGTTCCATTTCCTTGTTCATCAATACTGCGTTGGGTTCCGGGATTCTCAACTTCCCATACGCTTACAAGGTTGCTGGTGGAGTTGCCATTGGTTTGACATTCCAGTGGGTGAGTCGAGTGCAGCGTTTTATTTTTCTTTGTTGTTTTAAAAACGTTAAAAGTATTTGACGGTATATAAGTAAGATGAGGCCTAAGACTAAGAATGCAATCTTTTCTTTCGCATTGAACCATTGGTTCCTATACCTCACGTGACTCAAGCACAGCTGGTGATATTTAGGAGAAGGATACTAACTATTTCGTCATATTTCTTGCGTCCTTTAATGTTAAAATCACGAAACAAAACCATTATGAAATTTATCCTACACCTAACCTATAAGAAAAAAAAAGAAAAAAGAAGCAGTTCATCAGCATTATACGAGGGTTCTAACAAAAGTTCTCGGAATGAAAATGAAGATGGTGTCTAATCGAGCTGAAAAAAAATTATTCTTTAGGGCAACCATATTCTTTGGCACACAAAAAAATCAGCCCAGTTTGACAATTTTTTTCAATTTTTGCAAAATTTACCCTGGCAGAGTTTTGCTATACACTCAACAGATGAGGCACCCTTCCTGCAGCTTTTTTTTTTTTTGTGGCCCAGTTTCCCCCTCAGAATTCTTGAAATCAACTTG